CTATACAGTTTTTAGAAAAAGTTTGAGAAATAGTGACAATAAATCAAGCATTTGAGCCAGATTTAGTGTAATACAAGCTAAAGAGAGAGAGAGTAGATAGAGAAAACTAACTATCTCATTATGGACTAATTGGTGTATCCTCGGCCACCTCAACTTCCACGGCCACGGTTGCCGCGACCACGACCATTGCATATCTTGAAATTTTTGTGTTGGTTTGAGTGGTCTTCCTCCACGCGATCTCTCCACGTCCTAAACCAAATTTTTTTCGGGAGCATCATTTAATTCCAATAAGGCAAATCTATTGTTTTCCATAGATTCCACATCTTTACTTCCACTTTTTATTAGTTTCATTTTTTCCCTATAAGACTACAAGCCTGTTGTGGACAAACAAAAAAAACACTACAAGTCTATAGCGAATTATTTGAGTGTGCCATTACTTTAATCATCATCACAAACGGCCAAAGACCTTGTGTGCTAGTGGCTTAGCCACTATGCCTGGTTATCTTAAGCATGTGCAAAACCACACTTTCCCATTGTCGAATAAAATGAAATGTATATAAAAATAGACATCATTATAATGGTGTACAGAGTGAAACTTCAACAAAATAAAAATCTTGTAATTTATACTTTTAATAAATTCTCTATTAATCGATACATCTTAGACATATTACAATGCCATACAATCCTAAGCATTGAAGTGGATTGCTTTTGGAAACTATGAGCATAAACAGCCACTACGCTATGTCCGAGGGACCTATTGATGAACATCGCTTATTACGAAAACCACAACAATATTTTCAAGGAAGCTATAAAACATAGACAACATTACAAATATATAAAAAAAAGTCGGAACATGTGTTCTATGTATTTGTCATACATGATCTTAGCATATATCAATATTAGACAAATGGGTAATTCAGTCGGTTCTTTATGCTAATATAAATATTTATGTATTTCAAAGTAGCTAATATTATGATTTATATTACAGATTTTTATTTTATTTGACATAGTTGCATACCTCAAGGACCAAACATATACTTTCCATTAATAATATATAATTTATTTGATTAGTTTTGACCCGAATCTCTAGAGAATTCAACAAAAGTTAAAAACACTCAGATAGAACAAAATGCTATTACACCACCTTCCTCTAATAATCAGATGAAAAGTGGTGAAGCAAACAAAACGAGAAGGACGACAAAAAAATGAAAACACACAAAATAACACAAACAAACAAGTCTCTGCTTAAACACTAGTACACACTCGTATTGTCTCATTCTCATATTTTAAGAGCATCGTTCACGTGCCAAACCGAGCCTTCCATTGGGAACGTCGATCAGGACACGGTGGTTCTGCTGCTGCATGCTTGCGATTACATTGACGACAGAGTTTACATTCTCCGGCGCTGCGGCCATGGCGAGGCACGACGTGCTTCCGGCCGTGCTGTGTAACATGAGGTTATCAGCAGGCAACGTCATGTTCACTCCCTTGAACATGAATGTTATTGTCGGCACCTTCACTTGCCCCGTGTAGCACGTGTCGAAACCGCCGAGTGACGTCACCACGGCGGTAGCTGGCTTCACGCGCTTCCTGAACTCGTTCCTCACCGCCTCGTAAACCGGTTTAGCCAACCGTGTGTAGACAGTCCCTGTAAATCATATAGTTAGTTGGTATAATAACCAAACCGAATTGAACCGGACCAAAATGAACTAACTATACTACATTGGTTTTATTGTTTTACCACAAAATGAAAACCATTTTTAGATTAACCAAATTAACCAACATTAATTTTATACTTTTTAGTCTAAACCTAACCGAAATAGAACCGGTTTGTTCATGGCTACAATGTATAAAATAATTTTTTACCGGAGTCAAAGATGGTTCCAGCTCCGGTGGCCGGATTAAAAGCAATAGCTGCCGGAGGTAAGTCCACAACTTTCCGACCAACGCGGATCGCGACGAGGTTAACGTAATACAAAGAAGACCTCCTCGGATTTCTCAAGAGTTGCGTGTACTTCACGCGCAGGGGCTGTGAAGTTGGACCGAGTCTAAGCGATCCCGCGAAAGCGAGTGACCTGAAACTTGGCAAACAGTAAGAGAACGTAGACTTGTAAAGTGACTGAGCTTGTGACATAAGTGATAATGGGCCTCGTCCTAAGCCCAACAAGCCTTGTGGTGGTGGGACAGTTCCTCCACCGGCGACTTTGTTGACGCAACCGAAGGTAAAGGCGGTGATCGGATCGCCGGCGAGACGGATCGTGTCTTGAGAGAGGTTAGCCGCAATGGAGGAGCTTCCATAGGTTAGGTTGAAAGAGCACGCGCGTGCTCCGCACGTTGGGTTTGGTACCTACAAAATGTGTTCACGTGAGTTGATGCAGTTGTGTCGGTCGAGTTGTTTTAGTTTGTGTTCTGTAATCCCGTGAACGATTTTTATTTTTTGGATGGAAATTGTGGGTGGAATTATTTATTATAACCACGTGGGACCTCATCTCCGTGAAAAACTTTTTCACATAAATAATAATAGTTGTTTCCTTTTTTTATATTAATCAAAATTCTAGATCTGTTTACTCCGGAAATATTGAGTTTTGAATATATCTTATTTTTGTGGCAACAATATTCTTATGCTCAAATCTTTAAAGATGAAAACAAATCTCAGGTGACTAAATATTAAAATACGACTACAATATTATAGTTATGACATAAGTGAGCTAAATATATTTGGTTCATTAATGAAGCTATAAGTATATGTTGCAAGTGTTATAAGAAAGTGTGAATAATATATGTAATTAAAAATGAAAAACATTCCATGGAACATATTTATTATAAATGTAGGTGTGTAAGTATTATTACCTGCTTACACTGAGGAGCACTGCAGCTGACGTTCTTGAAGGAAGTGGACTTAGCCGGAGAAAATCCGGTGGTTGAAGGACAGCCAACGCAACCGGAGCAAGGTAACCAAGCCACGTCACTGCTTGTGTCCATGGCTAGGAGCAGAGTCTGAGCCGGAGTACCGATCTTAGCCTTGACAATGTATGTTGTGCTTTGCAACATTTGACGTCCCGAGGCGATTGGAACCACAGATCTCCCCGCTATGAGGCTGGTCAAGTACTGGAGACGGGCTTGGTCTTGAGCCAGCGTCTTCAGAACACGCTCTTCCCATGAGAGTGGGGATGATGATTTGAAAGGAGAGCAAGGACTGTCTATGTGGAAGATTCTTAGGGTCGAGCCTTGGTCTTGAGTGTTGGTTAGGTCACAGTTTGGGTGGTTTAACCCGAAACCAAGTGCTAATGGGATGATGGAAAGAAGTTGGAGGAATAAAACAAGAGTTGTCATTGTGTATTATATGTTTTATGTTTTTTTGGGTTGGATGAGATATTAATTGGTGTTGGCATGAGAGGGTATATATAGTGGTCTGAGCTACAAAATGACCAAGCAGATAAAATCAATGGGAAATTGCTAAAAATAACCTACAAATTCATTTTAAATGTAAAACTACCCTCTTTATCTCATGTTTGACAAAACTAACCCAATAGGATAGTAAAATTACAATTACATTCCTTATGACCAAAGAAAAAAACGGAAGCTACAATTACCGTTGTAACCCTCGAGAAGTCTACATTGTACTATAGACTTCATTACTTTAGATATTTTGTAGACTTCTATTGAAGTCTACTTACTAATTATATATATAATTTAAATTTATAAATTAACAAAAATTAGTTTGATTAAACATTTGTATTCATGACTAAAGTATAAATAATTGTGAAGTATAAAAATTAAAATTTCACAAAATTTCAAAAATTAGAGAAACAAAACTAAACTAGATTACATATTCATAATGAAATGAAGACTAAACATATGTTTTGATATTGATGTAGTGTCATGTTGGTAGTTATTTTTGTTTGATATTTATAGTTTCATGAGTTTATGTTGTAATGGTTTAGATTGAGGGATTTATATTTATGGATGTTAAATTTGAAGGTATGTATGTTATATTTGAAGTTACAAATATGGACAATAGTTTGATATCATAAGTTGGATACAAGTATTTACATTTAGGGTTATATTTAAGGTTTATTATTTTTATATTTAAAATGTCAAATTTAAATAAAAGTGTTAATTTGTGAATATATTAAACTTTTTGAATGTTGAAATAAGTTTTTTTTAAGGTTTTGTTTTGAATAATTAATCGAAATCAGTTGATCTATATTTTCGGTAGACTATATGATACAAATTAACAATTATTTCCACTAATTCCACTAATTAGGTTTTGAGTTAGAATAGAACTACGATGGTATTAAAAAGAATTAATTTAAACTGCCTAGTTGGAGGAGATTGTTTATTTTTGTAACCTTGGAATTTGTTTTTGTTAATATTGATTTTTTTCCCATAACAAGTTTTTCTGTCCATAAACAGTAAACAACGGAAAATGTTTTTGACCAACGAAAAAAAAAAAGAGGTTCTGCTTTCAAATATCCAACAATCACTTTCAAAAATAATGATCGTCTTCAATGATTCTGTTTGGATCTCAATCATTATCCACTAGTTCACCATCTAAATTAGAGATGCTCTGCTCTTGCTTTTTATTGAGCTCAAAGAAATAGGTAGCTCGAGACACCTCCATTGATACGAACCGGTGAAAATTTGGGTGCTGGTTTAGTTATTATTATTTTTTAGAGAAGCATGCATGCCATTATTTCTCTTTACTTTTACTTTGTTAAATTGGTGTCGGCCAATAATGTAAATATTCACATTAACGTAAATATTTTTTTTTTATCAAAAGAATAATAATGTAAATATTCACCTGTTTCTTTACTCTTCCCGGAGTGCAAAAGTTAACTTTCTTGAGATTTCCACTACTTTTGTGGGGTATTTGTTTATTGATGGGCAGAGTATAATAATGAAATTATAGTTGTCTCGCAATTGATATATAATACAAAATTTAAACTCTTAAAAAGAAAATCACAATTTTAACAAAAAAGAACATGGCTAATGGACTTCGATTGATTTTTCTTTTAAGAGGTATTTTTTATTCAACAAATATCAAAAGATTGGGCTGATTGAGAGATGGGCGTTTTTAAAAGCTGGGTATAACGGTTTCAAAATTTATCGAGATACTTTTAGTTTAGAGATTTACGTAATATAAAATTATGATTTAGGTTATCAATTAGAAATGTTAAACTATTCATATCTTTCGTAATTGAATATGTTAAATTAGTATAGTTTTACTTTTAGTTGAAAATCAACCTTAGTGAATGCGGGAATTATTATTCAAATTCAATAGTTTTAGTTAAAAATAAAATTTAATTAATGTGAAAATTATTATATAAAATCCGAGTTTCGTTTGTCTATATTCGAATTTGCAATAATTTTATATAGGAATGTGTTTTACCAAATGATAAACAAAATATTTGAATCGAACGAAAGCAAATCAAAATTCACCAATCCAAATTTGAACCTAATGCTATAATGTTTAAATTGGTATAACAATTTCTATAATAAATTACCCCAACTAAACTCAAATGAAACAAAAAATACTAAAGATATTGTTAAATTTATTGCTGAGATTTATTATAAATTTAGTTTTTTTTTTGTTAAAAATTATAAATTTAGTCGCTCACACATATTTTAGAAGCAAAAAAGCAAATAATGTTTATATCTTAAGCGTGCATAATTTTTTAGAA